GGGATATACATGTTAGGTTATTTAGATCTTGGAAAGCTTTGATATCCTTCTGGTTCTTGAGAGATTTGAGATTTGCTTGATTTATCGAACGAATCTATTTATCTTATAGTGTCAAGAAAGGTGTCAACCTATATTGGCCTGGCTGCAAGCTCTGTAAAGTTGATATTGGCTCCCCTTTTCTGACTGTGAATCAGTTTATATTGACTTATTTCCTTCTTCTTAGAAAAGAGAAAAAGACCAAGATTGTTAATATATATTGTATTTTCTTAGTGATCACCAGATTAAAACTATGCACAAAGTATTGTTCTATACTAAGATGTCTCTTGTATGTTGGTGTTGTGAGAGTATATGTTTTGAGTTGTGTATGTTGTCTCTTTCCTTGGGTGTATTGCTTAAAAAGGAAATTTCTAAGGATTTTTTTTTGTAGCTTATACCTTGTTTATTAGATGTTTTTATAAAAAGTATATACAAATTTATTTTATACAAATTTATCACTCTATCTACATAATTAAATTCACTAAGGAAATTTTCCTATCATGTGACTTATTGCTAAGTATTGATATATACTTGACTAAGACCTATGAGTCTATAGTGTAGTGGATGCACTCCCAGGTCACCATCCGCGAGTTACTGGTTCAATCCCATCTAGGAACAGTTTCTGCAATATATAGATTATGTTGTACAATATGCATGCTCATTACTACATGCATCCTTGTACTCATAAATAACCTATAGACTTTCACCATCCGACCATGGTATAAAAACTCAGGTCACCCAAGCCTTGGCTAGTTTTAGTGCTAAGGAAACCCTTGATAAACCTGCCACCTGGAATATGTAAGAATCCAAGACAAGCTGAGAAAAATGCTGATCAGTTCAAGCCTCTTAACGGAAATGGGAAGGACATCCACCTCTTATCAAAACTACACCCTATGGAAGATAAGGGAAACTTCAGTCGTTTGCACCTGTCGAAAATGTAACGGGCCATAACACAATTAATGGGAGATCTCAATGAATCACGAAACCAATGACTATCAAAGAGGACAGCTATTGTGAAGACTGGTGGTTAGCATTAGCGCCACGTTGGAAAACCTGCAGGAACAGACCCTAAGAGAAGAAATTCGGAAACAATCACCAAGGTAACCAATCCATATGGGAGGAGCAATTTGCTATGAAGTAACCAAGGAATATCTCTGTAAGGCCAACTTGCAAAAGTGATTAAAAATGAGACAATGGAAGGCTATATGCCACCCAATAACATAACACCATTGAATCGCCTGAATATCAAAAACATGACCAGAGACACTGTACTATCTAAATTTCAACTAAGCCTGTGGAGGACCCAAACACGGTAGGGATGATCAATGACATCTATGACTATCAAGCAGAACACAACCCACTAATAACAAAGGAACACACAAGTTACTAGCTCCCTGAAGAGTAACACCAAAAATAGAAGTCCATAGCAGATCCTCGGAATGCTAGAGTCCCGGGCAGAGCAGGGCAACTGACAAAAATGGTATTATTATATGGTAAAATTGGCGGATTTGTTAGGATAGGTAGTCTCAAAAAGGTTATACAAATTGCTCATGCAATCTAACTCTACTGAATACTAATAAAAGTTTTGTCCTGTCAGTTGGACTTTATAAAAAAATAAAAATAAAAAAAAAAAATAAAAAAAAGTATATACTTGACTAATTTGTCAAGGCTCTACCTGTCCCATAAAAATTTTTTTTTGAATAAATAGATTGTGTTTTAGTTAATTCAGTAGTGACCAGCATGTGCCATAATTGCATTGATATCTGGAATATAGAATTTATATATGTTCTCTTTTATAATTATGGATTGCCATTACATTTTGTCTTTTGTGGTGATATTGTATTTCTTTTCCTATTATATAAAGTTATCACACCTATGGTTCTATTTTTTTGTTGTATATTAAGAAGTCTGTTGACAATACTTTTGATAGTTTTTTTGTGATATTTTGTCGCAGTATGTTTTTTTTGGTTTTTATTAAGTCTATTTTAAGGACTCCTTTTGCTATATAGTTCTTAATTTCATGTGCCCAGAGTTTTGCTTGTTTGTTAAGTTTTTTGTTTAAGTTGTGCTTTGTGAGCATATTTGATCTATTACTAACTTTTGCATTTATTATTTGCTATAGTTTTTTGTAAATGTCTGTTTCATTTCCCCTACATGTTATGCAATATATATTGGTTTCTACTTGTTGCAGTTGAGGCATTGATTATCTATATAGGTGTTTACTACTCTTTTATGTAGTTTGTTCTTGATAAGTAGTTCTAGGTTCCAAAGTCTGTATGTGAAGAATCTGCTATTGTAATCCTTTTAATTGATTGGTCCTTTTGTGAGTTTTGAGAGTAGCCTGTTAATAAGTAATTTCTTCTATATGATATTATTTAATGTGAAGTTAATATCAGTTATTATGAGGTTGTAGTCGAGACTTCTTCAGTTGAGAATATGTTTTGTTCTGATGAAACCATATTTTTTATTAACTTTTATATACTTTACAGTAAATCAAACTATACAAAGCCTCTTTTATATACTGTATATAGTCAACAAGTAATTATATATTTTTTAAAGTAAACCTATTTATATGAGTAGGTTTAACTATTTTACCTCTATATATAACTACTACTTATTTAAAAAGATATGCAATTTCTTCTTAATTTTTTTCGGAACAATTTTATTTATAGTAAGAGTAGTCTAGTTATCAGATTGTCAAATTTTCTTTATCCTGGATTTCTTAGTTATTTTTTAGTCCTTCAAAGTGATCCATGGATTTTTTCTCCTATCAAGGCTTTTCGATAGTCAAGTTTATAAAATTTTAGCACAACCATATATTTGAATTCTTGAATAGATGCCTCGACCCTTAAAATAGAGAACTGAGTTTTCTTTAGTTAATTTACTATTTCTTCTTTCAACAGTATATTACTAGTTCAATATCTATTTTTCTTATTATCTTTTATTTAGTAATGCGGTCATATCATTAGATAATTTTATCCAATTTTAGATATTCAACCTTATTATAATCCAGTATAGAACTGGCTTGAAACACTTTGCTTTATGAGACAAGTTATATATAAAAACATCTGTTATATATGGTTATGTCAATGAATATTAATTATTATCTACTCTTAGAGATTGCCTTCTAAAGGATTTGATTTCAGTTTCTTATAATATGACCTATGGAGAATTAACTACTATACTATAGATCCATAATTATTTATAATATTTTTTAATAATATTTAAAAAAATATATTATTAACTGTAATTAAAAAATAAAGCTTAACATTGGTTAAAAACTATTTGATCTTATTATCTAATTGAAATAAAAATAAAATCTTGTCTTGAATTTTGTCTAATTGTAATAATAAAAGAAAAAAACTTCAATTTAAATAAATAATAAGTTTTTTATTATTTAAAAACTTATTTATTATATTTTATAGATCTTGTATAACATGATATATAGGTTATTCTAATTAAAGCAATAGAGCAGAAACAGGAAATAAATTAACTCTTTCAATTACTAATAATAAATAATATATAAATAATATAAGCTTGTTTATATTTTATTATTAATATATTTTATGGTAATTAATTAAATATTAGATAATATTAAGTAATCAAAATTTAGGATCAAATAAAAATAGTTAAAATCGCTCAAGAAAATTATAAAAAATAGTAGATATTCTAAAAAAATTTAAAACAATATATAAAAAGATAGATAATAAGTCTTTCTATATTAAACAAAACCTTTATTTCTTGTTATTTCTAGTTCTAATAAATGATATTTTATCTGTTAATCCTTTTACTTCTAGAATCTTGTTCTTTAGTAGAAAAAGTATATGCTTGGTTTATTTATGCCATCAGAGATTCAAGTTTTTGTTTAAAAAAGTTTATAAACAAGTAAGAAAAAAAATATTGACTTATAAGAAAGATTTAAATTATTTTAAAAAATGTATAAAGACTTTATTAATTAAAAAGTATAAAAACTTTATATAAATATCTTTTTTGTATATAGTCAAAGGATTAGTGAAAAGAGTTTTTTACTCAATATTGTAATTATAAATAATATATTATTAGATTATAAAATAAAATATTTATTTTTAATAATATAATAATTAATAAACATTTAGTTTTATTTTTTAAAAAACTTGAATTAGAAAACTATAATATAATTTAGAAGTAATAATTATTATATTATAAATCTAAAATTTTTTGATATATAATATTGTTAAATAAAGTTAATAAATTTTTGTTTTTAACTGTAATTAATAAAACATTACTATTATTTTTAAAGAACCTGAATTATGATTTGTATTATAATTCATAAAATGTTAATTATTATATTATAAGTCTATGGATTTTATAAAATTATATAACAATATTTTAATATTTATATTATTTTTAATATAAAATTTATTATTATTTGAAATTTTCTATCTTTTTATTAATTATTATATAATTAATAATAAATAGATTTTTTTAACTTACTTAAATATCAAAAATTAGTCGATTGCAATTATATCAAATTTGAATTACAATTGATTTATTTCAAATTTATTCTAAAACTAATTAACTTATTTTTAACTATTTTAAATTAATTAAAAAAATAAATTTGTTTAATTATTAATTAAAAATAACAAATTTGTTTAATTATTAATTAAAAAAAATAGTAATCTTTTTAAGATCATACGTACAACAATACGCACCGGAACGTGCGAATTAATAATTTCTTAGGTACGCAAATGTGACTTCATGAAAATGCCAACACGCGGTTCTGATAATTAGAAATAGTCGATCGAATTCCCGAATTTCAGATGTTCGTTAAATGTCTATGAAGGTGAGCAAGGTAATTGTCGAATATGAAACCGTATAAAGACCGGGTTAATAATTTTAAGTATAAAAGAGCAGACATTTTACTTCCTCAAAATCACAAATAGCTTTTCACGACTTACAAAAAAAAAAAAAAAAATTTTTTAATAATGTTGTTAAAACGTACACTTTTCGCTGCTTTTATAGCCTTTTCTCTACTCGCGTCATGTCTCAATGCAGAACTCGGTGACCAAGCAGTTGTCGATTTATCGAATAAAATTAAAGGCCAAATTAAATTTACGGAAGTGAAAGAAAAAGAAAACACTGCCTATTATGCTGGAAAATTTACGAAAGGCATCAATAAAAAGAATCTCAGGAAATGGTCTATCAAAATTGGAGATCTTTACGCAAAATCCTTTTCTGAATTGAATATAGAAATTGAGGGACATGGTACCAAAGTTTTTCAATCCTTTACCGATTTAAAATTTGAAGAAATCATCGGCACACAACTCTCGGTTTTGTACAATGGTGAAATGATCGATTATGGAATAATAAATCGTATTTGAAAAACCACCACTTTTAATTTAATTTCCGCTCGTAGTATAATTCCATAATACAATTTTTTCGACGACATCGCGAGAGATAGATCGTCATAACTTCATGTGTTCTTTCTTGATCATATATTTTCCTCAACTATTAAAAAAAAGCCCTTTTCAATTTTTTTTCAATTACAGTATCAATACTTAATTCAGATTATCATAGTCTTTACAGAAAATATTGTAATTCCCTGTCCTTACAACTATCGATTCTTGAAAATTTTAATAAACGCTAACACACTTGAAGCCTTATGTAATCCTAACTATAATTGCGATATGATAATACCTACATAATATGATTAAATGAAAATTTTACAAATCTTAAACCTGATTTCCATTGAGTTATCGCGAGATTGTAAAAAATTAAATTGCTATCTCTTGCAACTATATGTAATTTGCTTTAACAAAACCGGGAAGCGTTTCATGCAAATGCTAAGAGCGAAATCAGAACCGAGTAACAATAAAGTGGGTTTAATGTAGGACAAAAAATGCATAATATGATGATAACGACTTTAAGATAATTGTAGTAAGGTAATCCATAGCAATTTTTTTTTTTTTTGAGATTGACAACTTATTAATTACAAAAACAGGATCTAGGTATTACATAATGACTATTAGTTAATAGATTGAACTATAAAATCAAATAATCCCTAAGCTAAGGTGTCTTTAAATTATATTTAAAGAACAACATCGTACTTCTTTATAAATTTGAATTCTTCTTTAATTCAATTTACAGTTAGTTCACGTTGACCTTTTATCTTTATTAATAAAAAAACTAATGGTGTAAAATATCAAGACTTTAACAAGCATACAACCATAAAATTAATTGCTTAAAAATTTAGTCTACAGAACAATATTATATTTTGTCACAAATTTATACTGTATGTTGGTTTTAAATTGTGAAACGATTTCCAATTAACTTTTTGACGAGAGAGAGAAAAAGAAAGTTTAAAAGTAAACAAATATATTAAATAAATAAAATAATTATCTTTTAAAAGATTTATTATTATTTTTATTTATTTTTTTTTTCAAAAAAAATATTTTCATTGAAATATCTTTTTTCTTTAATCATTTGAAAAAACTTATTATTTTTAATCTTGAAAATTTTTTTATTAATAAAAATTTAATACATTTGATTTATTATTAATTTTTTTATAATTACATAATAGCTAATTCAATTTTTCTTTTTTTAAAAAAAATACTGATTTGATCTACTTTATTTATTAAAAAATACATTATTATTGTTGTTCAATACAGATTCAGTAGAATCTAGTTGTATTACAATTAGTTGTCAAATTATACTGGAAAAAAGGGTTTATTTCTTCTTCTTATGTTTGCTTTTTATTTTCGATTTTATTGTTATTATGCTTTTGAGAATGTAAAATCAAACTGGAGTTGAGTCAAGAGTTATCTTTCTTATAGGTATAATAATTTGATATCACTGAAGAGTTCTTGTTTGTTTACATTCAATAATTGTCCAATTAAAAGGAGTTTGTATTTTTTCAGTTTTAAGTAATATTTGTTCTAAAAATCTTTTCTTATAGTATTTTAAATAGTAATACCAATCTCTAATATTACTATAGATTAGAAGTTATTCTCATATGTCAGAAAAGTAAATTTATATTTTTTAAAAACTCAAATTATATTGTACATTAAATTAGCTTTGTATTTCATGAATGGTTGGATTAGATGATTATATATATCTTTGATAAATCAAATTGGTTTTATCTCTTCTAAAGATAATAATAGATTTCTAAAATATTTAACATATAAAATTTTGCAGATTACTTATATCTTTTTTAAGAAACAAAATTCATGGTTTTTCACTTTAATAAGAACAAAAGTCAAGAAATACTATAAATCAATGATTTGAATAAAAGAAAACAATTGTAAGTAGTCTTTTTATAGTTATTATTTTAAAAATTTTAATATTTCTTAATAAGAGACATTTGACTTCTATTTCTATTTACCTTTCAGAACCTATCTTTATCTAAAGATAAAGTAAACTATAATTATTTTTTTATATAATATGTTATTAAGTAAAATTTTGAAGAGACCAAGTTATATATATATATATATTGTATATATATTTTCTTTCCGTCAGGCTAATTATGTATGCTTTATTAAATATTTGTAAGCTATACATATAATATAAGATACTAAAGTTAATTCTTTAACTAACTCACTTAGCTTAATTGTTTTATTTTTTTAAGTGCAATTTCAAGTATAATTTTATTACTTTGTTAAGAGTTCAAATAAACACTTTTACAATTTCTAACATTATTTCCTACAAATCACTATTGCAGATCATTCTTTCAAGTTCTAACAGAGATTAATACCCAACTATTTCATACTATACTTTAATCTATCTTGCAAAACCTATTTGAGTATTATGTTTTCTAATTTTCTTTTCTTAATAATACTTAATATAACTGATTTTCTGATATCTTGGTTCTATTTTTTAGGCTCCATATTTATGTTAACCTTTTGATCTTAATACTTCCATCATTTTTCAATATTTGTTTCTACTCTATTACCTTCTTATATCTGATATTTCAAAATTTTTTTCTAAAATAATTATATGTTTTCTTTTACATCTTCATTATTCACTTTTTTGCTTCTCAAGTTATATTTATATATTTTTACTATATTGTTTATTAAAGGATTACATTTTTTCTATCAAGAATAAATTATTGTATTATACTGTATATAAAAGTATTTTAATTTTCTTAATTTTTGTTTACTTTGATGGATTCTTTATAAAACATGGAAGTACAAACATGAAAATAGAAACAGCTTGGATATACAGTAGATAGGAGATGTAGAAAGAAAAAACAAGTTTCAAACTGAAATAAATGATTAAACTTCATCTACTAGAACAGAATTAATAGTAATAGTAACTATACTACTAGTAGCAAAGTAGATAACAAAATCAAGATCTTTATAGATAGTTAAGCCTATATATCAAAGTAGAAAAATATATAAAAAAGACCTTAGAATAATTCATAAAGATGGTTAAAAGAACAAAACTAATTCTTATGTATATATAAGTTGGATCTCGTAAAGAAAATAAAGCTGAATTTCAAGTTTATTAAAGTTAAGCATATTTAAATATTCAGTATAATGAAGAAGCAGATACTTTTGTCAAAGAAGTACTAAGTTTTCCAGTGATAAAATGAAAAAACTTTTTATCACTTAAGATAATAATAAAAATTAAATGACAAAATATAGTACTAGATACCTTCATAAGACAAGCTATTAAAAAAACAAATAACAAAGTAACAGCCTATCAATAGATAACTCAAAGTAGAACAGAAAGAAGATGGGACCAGTAAATCCAAGACCAACATCAATAATATATAGAATCTAGTAAAAAAACAATTTAAGTATTGATATATTTGAGATAAATCCTTTAAGATCTTATAAAACAAAAACTTTTTAATTAAATTGATTAATTATAAGTAATCAATATTAAATAAACTAGCTCTATAAAGACTAGATTTGCATAAGTAAGTGAAATGTATTATATATAATCAAGAAGAAAAAACAATAGAATATTTTCTAAAATGCCTAAATTACACAACTTAATGAAATAAGGTATGGCAAAAAGCAATAAAATGAGTCTTCAAAGAATTATGAATGCTCTAAAAAGAAAGAAAAAAGGAATTCGAAAAAAAAGTGTTAAACTTAATAATAGATATAGGATAAAAATGGAAGAAATCAACAAAAAAATAGCAAAACTATTAGAAAGAATCTTAGAAACCAGTCAAAATATACTTAACTTCTATATAAGACTAATAGAGAAAGATCTAATTGTAAAAATTACAGATTTGAAATATTGCAGTAAGAGAATTGAAAAAGAGATAAGAAAATAGATAATAAAAATACAGAAGAAAGTATATAATCACTTTTGAAAGAAAATATATAATGTGAAAAGTAAAAAAGTAATCAAGTAGGAATAGATATCAGGAATTTGCAAATACAATAAGATAAAAGATTAATATATCTACAGGTTCAAAAATAATAGAGTAAGAGTACAAAAAGTCAATCTAATAAGAAGTTAATATATAAATAAAAAAGAATTGAAGACAAGAAGTTGAAAGAAATCCTATCAAATGGGTAAAGTATAGTATAAAGTAATTAGAATTTTGATCTCTGTCAGAGCTGAAGAGTGATCTACAGTAATAATCTGTAAGTAACAATGTTATAAATTGGAAGGGTTTTTACCTGAATTTTTAACAGAATAATAAATTACTTTCAAAGTTTTATTTAGAGGGGAAATATAATCAAAATAAGTAAGTTAGTAGAGAATTAGCTTTAGCATTTCATTTAATATGCACAGCCTATAAATAGTTAATAAAGTATACATAATAATTTGACTATAAAAAAATTTATATGAATTAATATATATAATTTAAAAAAAAATTAAAAATAATATTATTAATTAAATATAAATTATTTTAATTAAAAATTATTTTCAACCTTTTAATCCAAACTCTTTCCCATAGATCCTTTTTTTCTTAAAAATTTCCTTTTTTGGCAATTTTAGGAAAAAGAAAGAAAGTGAATGGAAGAGATGAGTTCTCAAAGAGAACCCAGAAAACAATATAGTTCGGGGTGGCCCAACTAAATGAAAATATTCTAGCAAGAGGTAACACAAGAAATATGTGTAAAGAATCGAATCCGGATACTGGAAAGGAAACCAACAAAAACAAAGAAAAAACAGTTCTACAAGAAGAAAACAAATTAGAAAAACATACGAATAGTCCCAACAACAAACAACAAACAATTTTGAAAGACCCAAACAACACCAAACCAAGGAAAATGACAATTGACAACTCCACTTGGAGTGAGCAAGTAGAAGAAGAAATCTCGACAACATCAATCTACAGAGGAAGCACATTTGCTTCTGAAGACTCAAAAGAAAACCAAATAATACTACCAGGAGATACTAGAATCAAAACACAAAC